CACTTAAGAAGTGACAGAATTCGCGCTGCTTCAAACTTTATGGTCCTAAGTACTGCAACAAAGTTCAGGAAAAGAAAAAGAAAGTTGTTGTCTTGTGTTCCCGTCCTCGACAAAACGTGAATTTAGGCACTTTCACGTTCTGGTCGTGAAACGACGGCAAAGAAATGTACCAAAAAACGTGATTCACGTGCAAAGTTCTTGTTTTGCTAATCAAACCTATTGCTTTCTTGCCGTCCTCTTTGCCGTTGCCGTCGCCGTCATCGTTGCTTAAGCTCAATATTTAGCAAGTCCATCGTACCTTTGCATTCGAATTACCAGGCTCTTTGTAAAATTGCCATATGACTCCGTCAGAGCTATACCGGATCTTAAACTTTGTCACCCGCCAGTTTGAGCATCTTCCCTGAGTCGCGACACGTGTTACTTTGGTGTAACCACCAAGGTCCACTTGAAGCCACTGTTGAAGATCATTTTTAGCAGCTGCCCAACATCCTTTATAATTTAGCCTTGCCTTTTTTGCAGAATAATCACGATAATGCGAAGATGCGCTTATTTGAGCATCAGAAATGTCCCCGCTTTCCATACCAAGAGGATCTATATATTTCAAGCAAAAAATAAGTCAAACAAGGAAACAAACAATAGAAAATAGTCAAGAGGTAGTGGAATTTCGTAGCCCACTTACACAAGACCGCAAAGTACCCTATGGCAAGGGTCGACAATGTTAGGCTGCTATGACTCTACGTTATTGATTAAGTGTTTTTTTCCCTGTGTTGGAAGTCAACTTTAAAGAAAAAGACGGTAAAAAGGCCATATAATAAAGAACTTATTAACCTCGTCCGTTTGGTCATTACAGTGAAATCTCAGACCGAGGCCTCGATGTATAAATAGGGAGCTTAAGCAACGAAGACGGCGACGGCAACGAGAACGGCAAAAAAGCAAAAGGTTTGTGATATTAGCAAAACAACAACACTGCACGTGCATCACGCTTTATTGTACATTTCTCTGCTGTCGTTGCACGCAGTTTTGTCGAGGACGGGAACACACAACAACAAGTTTCTTTTTCTTTCCTGAACTTTGCTACAGTCCTTTAGAAGTTAACTCCAAAAAAATCTGCCAACATTTCACGAATTAAACGAGACAGAATAAGCGTGATAGCGTGATAAAATGGAGGCAGCGCTAATTCATTTTTTAAGTGACGTCTTCGTAGCCGTCACCGTCCTTGTTGCTTATAAGCTCCCCATTACATCAAGGCCTCGGTCTGAGATTTCCCTGTAATCTCGGACGTCAATCGCGGTTGATAAGTGGTGTTTGTAATCTACATCGATTTAAAAAATTGTTTAAAAGTGAAGTTTAAACAACGCCTTCATTCGCCAGTCTTCGTCAAGGCTTGAAGCTACCAAGCGAAGTTACGTAAAAAGATTGCTCCCTCTGCCTGTCCTCGAGGTTGATGGCAATGCAAGGTAGGCCATATCCGAGTTCCCCTGGGCCTCTGTATCAAAACGACTAGTGCTCAGCCATTGATATGGAGATGATTTTTCATTCTCGCGCAACTAAAACTCAATTTCACAAGAATGGCTGTGCACTTGGCCTCATTTTGAAAGTGAGGGTTTTCGGAACTCGAAAGTGGCCCATTGCCTTTGAAAATTTGAATTGGAAACTACATTGTGCCTAGAAGAAGGCCAGTTGTTCTGGAACACCCTTACCGAAACACGTTAAGGCGTGATAGGAAGCTTGGAAACCGGAGAAAGATTTGTTGTTGTCCGTTTTAAAAACCACAAACATTTGGTTTCCTGAAGAATAGAGTCCACCCTGAGGGGGCGGGTGTCCTCCGTAAAACACTCCCAACACCTCCCCTGTGGTATTCCCTCCATCGTACACACGAATGACATCTGTGTTGTTTTCAGCCTGTAAACTGAAACTTGATGAGAACATTAAAAACACGTGCTGTGATTGGTTGACTCTGATATTCCAGGAACAGTAGGCTTCATTCGGGTAATTGTGCGGGAAATTCGGAGACTGAAGGACACCACTGTCTGCACCCACGTGAGTCTCGTTGCAAGCTTCGCATTCTAGGATCACAAGATTTCCAAGCAATAAAATGATGAATATAGTAAAAGCCTGCGTTTTAAGAACCTGCATTTTCCCAAGATAGCCGAACAGGTACTTACATAAAATAATAATTAGCACAGTTGCAAATTTAAGGTATTTAGGGTAGTTTCTTAAATAGGTTTATTTTCTAAAGAAAAAAATACATTGTAGCTAAGAGTATTTAGTGGTATTCGCCTTATTCCTTATACAAAATCTGCATATTAAATTAGCATTGCAGTTGGAGTGCGTGATAAGTCACCCATGTCTCCAAAGAGGATCCTAAATGTTGACTTATGTTATTTACCCAAGTGTACAGAATTATTATATAATCGATTTTAGAAAATGTTTCAAATTTTAATGAATTAATTTTCATTTATTATTCATTCAAAATATTTCCCCTATTCTGATTGGCTAAATGCACACGCATAATTCATCATAACCAGTTACTGACGACCAAATTTGGTAGAAGTTTGTGTTTAACGAGGAAATGACGTCAAAATCCTCCACAGGTTAAGGCACCGTTAACCGAGAAGACCTGGGAATGAGGTTGAGGTGTTTTCGTTGTGAAAACTAAAATGGCGGACACTTCACTCGCACACTTCACATGGCAAGAACAGCAAGAAGACAACTCGAAGGGCGACATCTGCTATTTGGGGGAATATTTACGGAGCTGAACAACCCTAAATGTGCACTATTGAAGATGAGCTTAACATCGACGGATCGATGGAGGTAAGCATGTTTTAGTCATGTTTTTAAACTAGGAATTATTTTGAATGAATAATAAAACAATCATTGGAGGAGGGTCCAAGAGGAGACAGAGGACGCGAGGGTAATGTATTGTAATGTATTCTAATAAATTTAAAACAAAGCAAAAACACAAATTAACTAAAATAAAAATTAACTGCAACATATATATTTATTTATTAAAAACTGAATCATTGGATAATGCAATTCTACAGCTCTGATTGGCTTAGCCATCATGGTATATGAGCCATTATAACATGCTCTCCAAATATGGTAACTACGCGTCTGCTCAAAACTAAAAACAACCTGAAATCGGTGGTTTTAGTTACAAATAAAGTCGGGAAAAATTCTCGATATTTTGTGGGCGTTTTTAATAAAACAATTATTCCACTCGCGCTTGTTGGATATGAGATGATTATAGCCAACTCGTTGGCTATCTACCATCTCATATCCAACGCGCACTCGTTGAATAATTGTTAAATATATCACTTTATTATATACATACTGAGACTCACCAAAAAGCTATGTCGTAAATTTTCGTACGCAAATTAGTTCTAGTCAATCAGAGGAGCGAACGATGGTTTTCACACGTGAAAAAAAATGATAAGTCCAATCAGAAGCCACAAAGGTGTGTGAGTTTCGCGCCAAAATTCCCGCCTGTTATTGCAGCTTGCAGCGCCGCCTCGCACACATTCAACGAGAAAAGTTTTACTCAAAGAGTTTTTCTCGCTAAAAAAGTGAAAAACATTTCGGAAATGGAGTGGAATAGTTTCGTTTGTTTCACTCTCGATAAAGAAAACGGTAGAGAGCCGGCGAAACAACAGCGGAAAGGGATAAACAGAACGAGACGTAAGCTTTTGTTGTGCTTTTTGTCGGAGCTACTTTTACCGGCCGTTTTACTTAAATTCTCTCATTTTGAACTGTGCATTGAGAACAAACAGTAAAGATTACGTATAGTTCTTGGATTACCTCATATCCTCACCTTCATTTATGTTTTTAACAAACGTTTTTACTAAAAAGCGGATACTTCGGTTTCGTTGTCATTTTGCGGTAAGTGTGTAGCGGCAAATTTTAGCAGTTTTGAAAGATTTCAAATAAAAAGGCCGCCAAAATGATGAACGTCTCAGTATGTTTATAATACACACAATACCACATGCAAAGTGCTTTGTACGGTATTTACGCACTCGTTGTTTTTGT